CACTGATACAGTATTACATAGAAATAGCAGTGCTTTCCAATTAGTCCCCTTTAAAGAAGTGTAGCGGTTTAGGTTTTTTTGGTTTTCAGTGGTCCTATTGTTGATCAGAGTCCTGGCCCCAGAAGGAGGGGTTCACAAGTGGGTTTTAGAGGTTCTAGCAATCATTAAAGACCTTTCAGGTTGAAAGGTTTCTCATCAAATTTCAGTGTCAAAATAATACTTTTCTTTATCCTCACAAAAGAGAAAAATCAGATGAGCTTTAAGTGGGAAATGTTTTGCAAGAGAAATATCTTGCCTTGTTTTCTGGGCTCTTATTCTCAGTTCAGTTAAGTCTTTGAAAGAGCCGCAGAGTACAGGCTCTTACTACAGAATACAAATTAATCATATCAGTCATCCCGGTCCCTTTGTAGCTAGCACACTCATAGTTCCACTTAGAACACAAAGCTAGGTTCTCACCCCCTAGCATAGCTTCATCCCTGTACCTCACAGATTCTCAACCAGTCTATGGCTGTTACTGGGACAGAGCCTAACTCGGGGCCTGCACAGGCAACTGGAAACAATGACGTCTGACAAATAGTCAAATACTTCCATTCCCAAGTCTCATGAAAATACTGTATCAGATAGTCAGGAACTTGGGTTCTGAAGTCAGACCAACAAGGTCAAGTCTCAGTTCAATCACCCATCAGTATGTGGCCTTGGGCCAGGTCTCCTAGCCTCTCTGACGTCCCATGACCTGGTTCACAGAAGGCAGGATGGAAATACCAACCTTAACAAACAATCCTTACAACTCACGTTATCATTTTATTATCACCTAGTCAGCTTTCTTGACTTTGGGCCAAAAAAGGGGACATGCCCAAACTCATAATTCTTCCAATCATTGGTAAAGCTGCTGCTGAGGCTGAGGGGCTGGAGCAGCCCTGCAGGAGATCAGATCTCATGGGAAGAGGCACAGGATTGCTAAGCATTCTCCTGCTCCAAGCCACTTCCTATAACAGGGCTTGTCTGGATTCAGTAGATAAAGGAGACCCATAAAAATAGACATCTGATAATGAGTATGTACCACTGCCATGCTATTCAGAGTGCTGAGGTCCTGTCCTAATGCACTTACAGAGCCCAGAGTCCGAGATCCCAGGGCAGAACTCCACAGCTACCTTTCAGTATTTTTGAGCTACTTCTGTAAATTGGGAAACTAGTAAATCATCAAAGGGATAAAACAAGGATTTATTCTAATGTCTTTGGAAATGCTTTGAAGGAAGTTACAGAATAGACAAAATCAATGTCATAGTAACAGCAGCAGAATCCCAAACACAGATGT